TCCCTCTTGTTATGATCAGGAGGCTAAAACTTAGGTAACAAGCAAAGTTTAAAATAAAGATAAATAATGCATTATCCTCTACACACGTATATGATAAACTCTAAGATATCAAATAAAGAACAATTCATTTACTCCCCCTCAAGTTGGAGCATGTAGATCTCGAATGCCCAACTTGTCAAGTAAAAAACGTAAGCGATCTTTACCCAAGGCTTTAGTAAAAAGATCATTTATTGTAGATGAACAAAGACGCATCTGCCTTTGACTGTCGAAATCCTTGACTTGTGTGTGCTAGTGTGAACTTCTGATACCAGTTTCTTGATGCTTGTCGAAGTCCATACAGAGACTTCCGCAGCCTACACACTCGAGTATCTCCTTTTTTTGAAAACCCGTCTGGAACTTTCATGTAGACTTCTTCTTGAAGGTCCCCATGAAGGAATGCATTATTCACATCTAATCAATGAATAATCCAATCTTTCTTTGCAGCAACAATAAGCAAGGTTCTAACGGTAACTAGCTTCGCCACCGGTGCAAACGTGTCATGGTAATCCACGCCTTCCTGCTGTGTAAAGCCCTTTGCCACGAGCCTTGCTTTGTATCTTTCAATTTCACCGTTTGGCTTGTATTTTATCTTGTACACCCACTTCGATCCAATAGCACGTTTTTCCTTTGGCAAGTCTTCAAGAGTCCACGTACCATTGTCTTCACGTGCCTTTACTTCATTCTTCATTGCTGTCACTTAATTTTCGTTTTGAGCTGCCTGTTTAAAAGATTGTGGTTCTACATTGGAGCTAATCGCAGCAAGAAATGCTTTGTGACTGTCAGTAAAATTTTCATAAGATATATAATTAGTGACAGAATGTACCATAAAAGACACTTGATGGCTTGTAGGGTGTGCATGGTCTATCGAAGGAGGTAATTTCGCAATATAATCATCAAATCTTTTCGTAGTTATAGTATTGGGAGATCCTGGTGTACGTGAGTACACTAATTATTAATTGAAATCATTGTTGTTCTTGTTGTTTCCTTCGACGTTGTATTGGCTATCTTGGGCCCCAACAAACATGGTGACCATGTGGATGCTAAATCGGTACAGTTGTCTATTTTTTTTTCGATTTCATTATTTTGATTGTTGTTCCTATATGTTATGTATTTCTTGGCTGCTACTTGTTTGCTTAATTGTGTTTCATGGCTGGTCTTACTGACCCTCCTGGTGGAAGTGGAAAGGATGATCAAGTTAACTTTGATAATCCTCTCTACATTCATCCTTCCAATAATGATGTCACAACAATTGTTACTATAAAGTTAACTGGGAATGAAAATTTTAGGTTATGGAGAAGTTCTATGTCGAGAGCTCTTAGAGCTAGAAATAAATTGGGATTCGTAGATGGAACCCTAAAAAAGAATAGTGTTGATGAGTTTAAACAATCTAAATGGGACAGGGCTAATATTGTTGTCTGTTCTTGGCTTCTTTCGTATATGGAAAAATCTTTTTGAAACCTATAACAAGTTTGATAGGTCTGTTGTATTCAGCATTCACCAACAGATTAATTCACTTAAACAAAATGGGAATTCTTTATCATACTACTTTAATAAGCTTTATGCCCTGTGGAAGGAGTTTGATGGTCTTACTAGTTTGACTTGGTGTACTTGCGAAGCTTCTGTCAAACTCAAGGACCATTCTAATCTCATGAAACTTATGCAGTTTCTTAGTGGTCTTGATGATTCATATTATCAAGTTAAAAGTCATATTTTACTCATGGAACCTTACCTAATGTCAAGACTGCCTTCTCCATTGTGTCTAGAGAAGAGTCCCTTCAAAGAAATGGTTCATTGTCCACCTCTCAGTCATTTTAGTCTTCATCTAGGTCTCAACCTTCTACTTTTAATAGTAGGTTTAATAATACGTTTAACTTAAATAACTCTAATAAGAGCAAAGGTCAAGTTGTTCATGTGACATCCCCATTTTTTTACGGCCAGAAAAAACCGATTTGTTTATGCTTATTAAATCAGAGTATTCTTTTAAAAAGATTAATTATGCGGAATTTGTCTCAAAAACATGATAATGATATTATCAAATCATTTTCGAAGAAATGTGTTTTGTTTATGTTTTTAAAACTCGGCATGTCATAACTGATATAAAACATAAGCATAAGCAGAGACTTGAAATCCCACAATGTTATAATATGCATGTGTGTGTGTGTATATATATATATATATATCTTAAAAATCGCAATATACAAATATCTCTCTTATAAGCAATCTACCCCATACTGTCGATCCTCACATAATCCATACTCTCAGATTCATAAATGAATGGCTTTACCTAATCCATACTCTTGGATCAGGAATAAATAACTAGATCTAATCCATACTCTCGGATCAGGAATGAATGTCTATGTCTAGTCCATACTCTCGGATCAGTGACAAATGACCACGCCTAATCCATACTCTCGGACCAGGGACAAATAATTATGCCTAATCCATACTCTCGGACCAGGGACAAATGATTGTGCCTAATCCATACTCTAGGATCAGTGGCGGGTGGCTATAGCTAATTCATACTCTTGGACCAGGGACGAATGTCAGAGTTCTACCCTTCGTGTATATCTCACACATATTCTTAAGGAGATACTACCCAATATCCATCTTAATTAACTTAGGTCTTTTGTGCTAGTCTTATTTTTTCTCTGGTAAGACTATGATCTCTACTCCTAATACTTATATTATTATTACCATGAAATTATATATATATATATATATATATATATATATATATATATATATCAACGCATATAGAACCGTACTTGGTTTGCATATCATATATTATTAAACATGTTCTCAACACATATTACATGCAATAAGCATATAGCGCACATATAAGCTCTTTAACATATATTTAATACCTTAATTCATACTTGTATTAAAATTATGTTCATGAAAGGGACTATGCACTCACTTGATAAAAGTGACTAGCGATTTCAGTAGCGCTTCACTTCATACTTTGAAAAGACCTAGACGCCTAAAGTACTAAGCCTTAGTCCGGTTTCGTAATCCCGATGACCATAATAGTTATATTCTAGATTTCTTACTAATTTCAATGTCTACATCAAGATCTATCAAGTAAGGATTAGCCAGGCAAGACAGTTGGGAGGCAGAATCATTTCGTCATATAGCATTTCTGAAATCCAACAACCAAGCCAACGTGACCATTCTAGACACATCTCCCATAAGTAGATCAATCAATATTATAATAGGAATTACTGATTAATCTTAATTATAGGTTCATAATAACGACTTATGACTATAAATATAAGTTACACTGAAAGAATGAGAGTGTAGCTTAACTTATAGATGTTCTTCCTGACAGAAGTCTGGAAATTGCACTTGCAAAGCTTCTACTTGCTAGATACTACTACTTTAGGGATCGCAGAGCTTCACCACAGACTAAAACTAATGGAAAATAGGCTAAAATCGAAAGCAACTCGAGATAGAAGAACTTGGGAGGTGTGGGAAGGGAATGAGCCATTGGAGGCTATTTATAGGCGATTTTTGGGGTGCACTGCGTGCAAATAGGGTGCGCGTCGTGTATTTTAAGGCGACGTCTCCCCATCCGCTTTGTGCCACGTTTCGACCTCTCTATGGCCTACGTTTTCACCTTGTAGAAGCGCGCGTTGCGCACCCGACTCGCACCGCGTGCGGCGCAAAATGTACATTTTGTAAATTCTGTAACTTCTTTATACGAACTCTGTTTTTTTACATTCTTTATATCTCCGGAAAGCTTACGACGAGATATACAACTTTCCTTATGACCCCAACAGCTAATTCCTACTTTATTTTTCGTCCATATTTTTATAAAATGAAATGATTTTGCTAAAATCATGACTATCTAGTACGGACTCCGTTTTTGACATTCTTTTTCTCAAAATTCTTATCTTGAAGAATGTTATGATGTTCTTGAAGAATGTTATAATTTTTTCCTATTTCTCCTTAATACGTAACTTGTATTATATAGTCTGCAGCACGCACAATGCACAACTGTAGATTATCTTATTCAAAGATTTAATTTTAATAATTTCTTTGACTAATTTCTTTGAATATGATTGGTTCACAATGAGTTATGCATTCAAACAATAGATGTAACTTTTATTATAATTAACATTTATCTTTTTTGAGAAATATTACTTTGTGACACATACCAAAATTTTGTCATTTTAATATTCGTTGATTTGGTGGATACGGTTATGAATTCGATTATTCTAAACGCAGAGGTTTGTCGAAGCGGGACAGATCATGTTTTCAAAATTTGTTAAAAGGGTTTGGATCAAGGGTGATTCGCTCCAAACTCGTCTCATTGACAAGTCTAGGTTCAAATTTGAAGATCGAATGCTCTTCACTTTTGTTTTTTTTTTCTTCTTCTATTAGCAGCTCTAATCCGTTCTTGCATGCTTTGTCTTCGCCCCTATGTTCTTAATAGTTCTTAGACCAATACTTTAGAAAAAAAATCTTGATTAACCACTAGATAATCTATTTACCCATTGGATCACGTGATTATCAATGAGAGACATGTCTCGTCTGAGTCACAAGTTGACTCGATGTGGTAGGAATCATGCAAGGACTCGCGATTGACCAAGTCACCTCTTTTGGGGAATAAAATGACTTCACTCATATGAGTCAACTCATTACTCGTACGAGTTTTGACAACTATGGTTCGGTCCATACCCTTTCTTTCTTTTTTGTCATTTTCAAACATAGCTAATAAATTTTACCTATAACCGATTCTGTGTAGTCCTGATGTCTTCCAATAGTTTCAAAATCTCCCATATTTTTAACATTCACTATCTCGCAATATAAAAATGTGTAATTAAGGAGAATCGTTTATTACAAAGACACTGCTATCTAATAAAAATCTCAACAGATATTAACATCCACGGCTGGGCAGTGAAAAGAGTACATTATTAAATGCTTTAATTTCATATCATACACATTAATTCAATAAACCAAAAAAAAAAAAAAAAAGTACATCGTGTTCAAAAAAGAAAGTCTTTGTATAATAATAACCCAATAAGAAAGGCAAAATGTGAATATTTGTATACAGTCTCCCTCCATCCAAAACCCGATAACTTTTTTCTCAAACAAAAATCTGCCAACACAAAACAAACACAAATACCCCTTCCTAGGTCATACGTAGTCAGATCACCACCTGCTGTTTCTTGTAATTTAGAAAGAGATTTACCAAAAAGCCCACAATGCATCCATTCAAACTTTTAATTTTATCACACTCATGCCCTTAATCAGTGATCCATAGAAGCTTTCGACTAGGAGCAGGAGGGGCTAATCCTGGAATATCCCGAATGTCTTTGTTGTTTGGATCCACAATCTGAATTTTTTTTTTTTTTTTTTCAGAAACATAACATCAAGATTTACATAAATAATCAATTTGGTTAAAATAAATATATATAAAAAGAAATGACTTATAATATAAAGTAGGTATGTTATATTGTTATGTACCTTCACAATAATGATAGCTATGACACCAACCACAATAAGGAAGAGTAAGGCCATAATGCATCGATCAGTTGCAACCTATTAATTAATAGTATTACAGAATTCAAGAAATGAGAAACAACAAAGAAAAACACAAAAAGGGTAAAATAGGAAATGGGGTTGTGAAAAGTTTAGAGATTAACCTTACCTGCCTACCAATTTCCTTCACTAATTGAGAAGCCTTCTTGATTGAAAAATGGATCGAGTCAAGTTCATTCACAATTCTACTCATTTGTTCTGTCTGAAAAAATTAATTATTACACAAAAAGAATAATAATAATAATAATTAGTCTCCAGTGATTCAAGAAATTGAACAGGTTTTAATTTTATAACATATACCTGTGCTTTAAGTGCTGCTGCAGTCTCGGTTCCAACATTTACAGTTTCATGGACAACCTAAAAAAAAAATTCAAAATTATAATAATATAACATTGCTAGTTTTTTGTACATGACTAATTTTAAAAGATAATAAATAATAATAACCTTTTTTGAACGTTCAATAGCTTGGTCAGTTTCATCCATCATGTGATGACCATTGTCCATTAGTTGCTGATTTGTCATAGCTGGAATGTATCATAAATGACAATGTTGTAATTAATATGATTAAAAAAAAAAAAAAAAAAAAAAAAACACGATTAAAATCAACAAATTTTAATCTTACATGAGGCTAGCAAGCCATTATTATCTTCCTCAAATCCTTCAGCCGGCCCCCCAAAAAGATCAACTCGTTTGTTTTCAATGTTGCTTGCATATCTAGATTGAAAAGTAAAAGTTATGATTATTTATATATGATTGAATAAACAGAAATTAAAACAAAAAGGATGAAGGGGTTACTGTTTTTTGAGTGCAACATAGGAATTCAACTCTTTGACCATGGATTGCTTTTTCTCATTCAGAATCTTGCTGGTATCAGGGCCAACTGTATGTTCTAAATCCTTGACTTCTCTATCAAACTCTTTAATAAGCCTTGTTAATTCAAATATTGTATATCAGTATATGAGATGAGATTAACTTAACTTACTTATCAAGGATTATAATTTGTAAGTAACAGAATTACATACCTTTTACACTCACGCATCTTTCCAGTGAGCTCTTCCAACTGCCTACTTTGCCTACTTGAGTCTTTGATCTTCTCAAACTTTTGAAATCCATTTCTGAATCACAACATTCCCATCAGAAATCTTTAGGATTACAATTGAAAAAAAAAAAAAAAAAAAGGAAAATTTTCACCATTGTATTATGCATTTTGAAAAACAAAAAAGTCAATGCTTGACAGATCTTACATAAACACAAACGATTGGTGGCAATCCGTGCAGGAAAAAACATTTTTCATGCATCATCATCTGGTATTATTGAAAAAACCAAAAGGCACACAACTGGAACTGGTATTATTGAAAATAGATTTGAGGGAAGAAGGATAATTTTAATGGTAACATCATTTTTCATGCATCATCATAATCTGTTTGTGCCAAGGACGCTCAAATCTTGACTTGCTATGACATGATGAGAAATGTGTTTCTTTATCTAGTTTACAGATATAACATAAAGTCGATTGAAACCTTGAGAGGTTTAGAGAAAATCCACAATACATTTGCATGTGTAGAAGAAACTCGACATAACCTTTTGTAGGTGTAGAAGAAGTCGACTTAAACCTTGGCAGGTTTAAGGGGAATGGCTCTCATACCACTTGTTGTAAAAATCGACTAGGCTATAGGAGACGCTCATTTAATAAAAGAGCAAATTAAGCCAATGGATTGGGTGGAAACCCTTGTGGAAAAAACCACAATGCACACAACTGGTATTATTGAAAATCGATAGGCAAGAAGGAGGTTACAATCGATGGTAGGGATGGTAGTTTAGGATACCTAAAATAGAAAAACCAATAGTCTATTAACTAGAATACTAGTATATACAGATATAACTAATAACTACCATATAGAAAGGTAACTGTCCATATCCTAAGAACGAAGAAAAGGAAACAATCCCATAACAACCCTTAACGGGAAAATCGGATCATGTAACAACAAAAGTAACTCAATTTGATTTGCTGCGGAATATTGGAATTATAGTTAACATAACTATCCAAAGTAAATAACAATTAAAATATTGGTCAATTCGGACTACGGAAGAAAATTAAAATCAAAGTTCGCATAACAGATCAACCTAAATAGCAATCAAGTTTTTTGCAAGCTAAGATACAGTATTACAGTTTATACATCAAATAAACAGCTGGATTCTCCCGATTTGCCCAATCCCTCTAAACCCTAAGCTATAGATTCTACAAATTAGCGCATTCAATCTAATTACGCCTACATAAAAGTTATCCAATTTCTTTCTGTATAACTATTTTGACAAATTTTAAATTAGGAATAAGTAAATGCTTACGAAAGTGCTCGAAAAATATCAGCTATCTGTCCGTCAATCTCGCCAAGCTCCTCACTTATGGCCGAAATCGAAGACGCCATACTTATCTCACAAACTCCGTCAAAATCAAGCGAGTGTATGTACTATGTACCTCTACCTCCTTTCTCTAATATATCACAAACATCAGCAAACGCCAAAAAGGCAAAAACACATCCCAAATATCTCGATTCAAATCTTGGTTAAATCACAAAACACCAAGCTTCCTCAAGTCAGATCCGAACAATGTTAGAACCACGAAGCAGTAGGACTCGAATCTCCTCAAGCAGATTGAACCAAAATCACCAATTCAAAATTTGAACTTACAGACTTGTGTTTGAACGGATCAGATCAGAGCAATGCAGGTCAAATACATCACAGATCTGATCGAAATCTCCTGAGATGAATCTTCAGATGATAATGAAACGTTTCCACACGATGTTGAGAGAGAGAGAGACAGACAGAAGTATGAGCTGTGATGAGTGATTTTGTTGTTAATTGAGTAAAGTTTTAGTTGTACATCATGCCTTGAAGGTTGTACCGAAAGTAATTTAGAACCGAGGGCCTAAGTTTCGGCCGTTTAAACCGATGGGTGGGTCCATGGAGCATGTGTCGCGTCTTTTGTACCCTAGTCCGGTTGATCCCATGCGGACATGTCTATGTTTAAAATATGGAACAACAAACAAATTACACATTTTGATTCAAATTAAATATTAACTTATGAAATGGTCTATTAATAATTCCATAATATTATATTATTGGAAGTCCTTGTGTGGGTGACATTTAGTTTTTTGGATCCCATTTATTATATGTACAATGGAACAAAATAAGACATAAATGTCATGCATCAGATTAGAATGAAACTTGTATTAATAGAGTGAGAATCGTAAATTTCAGTCTAATAAAAAAGATAAGATGGTAATTCACTTTTGATCTCTAATTTATGTAAAAGATGTTAAGTTCATATCAATCATTTGTATCATTGAAATAGCCTAATGGAAATAGTCATATCCTGTAAATCCAATTCATATTGTCATGTCTCATGTAATATGTTTATGTTTTGTTCGGTTTGGTTCATTTGAATTTGTTTTTGTTGTATACAAATATAAGTGTTATTCTTCAGAGTGTAGATTTTGTTTTTTATTATTTCACCACTTAATAGTCAAGAAACATGAAATGTGGATTTTCATGTGTGCTTTGTTTTTGTATTAGTATCTTGGTTGGCCGAATGAGAAAAGTAAGTTGAGTGTACAAGAAGTGTCAATTAAAGGTAAAGTGTGAGTTAACACAAAGATATCAAAATGTTTGCCTCAGATAACTTTGTGTAGCTGTCCATTTGAATTCATGTCATTTCAATACATGAATTAGATCAAGTGAAGTTGGAAGAAGTATCATATTGTCTAAGATCGCCATATAAAAATGGCTTGCATCAAGATCGCCATATAAAAATGAATTAGATCAAGTGAAGTTAGAAGAAGTAACATATTCCGTGGGAAAGGGCTTGCATCAAGATCGCCATATAAAAATGGTTATCTTTTTGTGTTAGCTCATTCAAAATATGATAATCTTACAAATAGTAGTATATATTTGATGAAGTATAGTCTAATTTATAAAAATGTTTTGATATGTTTAAAATGTTTGGTTCTATTTTGATAATGTTTAAACTTTACTTAAGGCAAAGGGACCTTGTCCCACATGGAAGAAAGTAAGAGACTTATAGACCTTATAATATGTCTCTACGTCACATTAAATGGATCAAATAATACAAAAAAAAAACATTTAGGTTAGGATTGTGGCGTTGAGCTAACAATTAGTCATAAATCAGTTTTGTCATCCAAAACTAACTTTTATGAGAAAATCAATGAAAGTCAAAAGTCAAACGGTCAACTCTCGGGTCACCACAGTGTGGTTGCATACTCACCACGACGCGATGATGAAGCGAGTCATAAGGACACATGTGGCAAGCAGTGGACACATGGCACGACTGGAGCAACCCTTGTCACCACGACATAGTGGCCATAAATATATAAATATATGTATTTTAGTGTCATTTGAGGAGTTTTAGCTCACACGGTCGAGGGAGCGGCTCAGGTAGTGTTCTTGGAGGCTTATAACATAAAAGGTATACTTGTGTACGGGGAATACGAGGGTTGAGTGTAGGATTAGTTGATGTTTAGCATGTGGCAAGCTGAGAGGCAGCAGAGGCCAGACACCTAAACATCAGCTAATCTACTAACTAATCAGGTGAGTAAGTCTACTACTATGTGAATATTTTAATCATGTATTAATTTCATGCATATTTCTAATACTTTTAGCTACAGTTAAGTTTATTTTGAGATATACGGTACTTATTATGTTTGGAATCTGTTTTGCAGTAGCAAAGACATGCTCGGGATGAAAATGAAGCAAATGCGGAGTTGGAAGCAGGAATGAACGAGCCGAAAAGGGTGGATCCAAATCAGACAACTATATTGACATGTCTGCTTATTCTTTTGGGTGACTATGAAGGTTGGGCACCCAGATATGTCTAACAGGGTAGGTCGAGCACCCAGGTATGCTTGACATGGGTAGGTCGGGCACCCCAGATATGCCTGACAGGGTAGGTCGAGCACCCATATATGTTTGACATGGGTAGGTCGGGCACCCCAAATATGCCTGACAGGGTAGGTCGAGCACCCAAATATGCTTGACATGCATAGGTCGGGCACCCTAGATATGCCTGATAGGGTATGTAAGGCACCCATATATGTCTGGCAGTATGTGATTATATGGTATGATGGGGGAACTCACTAAGCTTCGTGCTTACAATTTTCAGTTTTGGTTTCAGGTACTTCTTCTTCGAAAGGAAAGGGGTCGGCATGATCGCAACACATCACACTATGATTTTCCGCATATGAGATCGTTGGGAGTTGTAACATCCCAACCGTCAATATTTTTCCTTTTAGACTTCACGTTGAAGGTCTACTCGACGAGTTGGCGCTATGACTCGTCGAGTAGCAGCGGGTTGGTCCGCGTGTTTAAGTGACCTACTCGCCGAGTCCAATAGGGGACTCGACGAGTAGGAGCTGGCAGATGAAACCCTAAATTTCGGGGGTTTGCACCCTATTTAAGGATCATTTATCCCCCCTTAGCCTCTCTTACTGCTCCCCTCGAATTCAGAAACCCTAATTTGTGTTGTTCTCTATATTGGTGTGCTTCTTATCTTGGAAGGGGGATTTGGTGAGGAAAGGTTTGAAGACCAAGAAGTTTTGAACAAGGAACAGCTGGGGATCTGAAGTCTACCTCAGTTTATCATCCATTTGGAGGTATCAAGTCATCACCTTGAGCTTCTTCTAGTTAAACCCCCTTTCTATATTGAGTTTTGGGACCATTTTGGGCATTTGGTGTTGCATTTCGAGTGATGAACCAAGATCTGAAGTTGCAACTTCAGATCTAGGCTCATCTTGGCCCTTATCATCATAAAGTCTCAGTCTTTAGCATGTTGGTGAAGACCTTTTGCCTAGAACCCCATTCTTTAGCTTGTTTTAGGTCATTATCACCATGCATGCATGTAAAGTTTGCAACTTTACGTGATAAACATGCCTTGGGAAGCTGGATCTACAATTTGGAGCCTCAGCATGGCTTAAAAAGCATCTGTATGGATGAAGGATTGAAGGGACTCGGCGAGTCGCAAGGTTGACTCGGCGAGTCATATGAAGATGGGCATGAACTCGACGAGTTTATGAACAACTCGGCGAGTCCGTTGAAGATTGCCTTGAACTCGGCGAGTCGTTCGAAGACTCGGTGAGTCGATAGGGTTTCTCCCAATTCTTGGACACGTATGAACTCGACGAGTTAAAGGGGAACTCGACGAGCCAATCAAGGATTTCACGACTTCTCGAGTTCAGGAAGGACTCGACGAGTCGAGTCAACATGGACTGTTGACTTTGACTGTGGACTTTGACTTTGACCAAGAGTTGACCAGTTGACTTCTGAGGGTATTCTGGTAATTTGGAGATTTATGAAAAAGGGTTTTATGGTAACTATAGGTAGTGGAGTTCGTGTTGGTGATCCGGGAGTTGAGCTTTCTAGTTTCAGACGTCAGTTGCAAAGTGAGTTATCCTCACTATATCAACAGGGTCTAAGGCACCAAGGCCGACCCTTATGGATTTGTATTTGGATTATTACATAATATGTGTATTGTTTCGCATCCTGTTAGTTAGGATGGTGATATGCTTATGTTTAGTGATAGGGTTCGGTCGATATCCTAGTTACATAATTATTCTATGATATGAACTGGGTAGGTCGGTGTCCTGGTTTAGGACGTTTCTATGCTATGTGATCTGTTAGATCGGTTTGTCTGTTATTATGATAGCCTATGAATGTATATGCACATGTTGTTTTGTGACATCCCCATTTTCACGGCAAGAAAAGACCGATTTTGTTTATGCTTTATAAAAATCAGAGTACCTCTTTTAATAAAAATGTTGCGGAATTTGTTCCCAGTAAAACATGATAAATACGTTATCAAAGCATTTATGAAGAAATGTATTTATATTCATTTTAAAACATTTGGGATGTCATCGTCAATACAGAAACATAAGCATAAACAGAACTTACATTCATTATCACTAGTGATTTATATCTCCTTAATCTCTCAGTGTAATGTAACTTCATATCGACACATGTGATACAAATAAACTGAGTGGGTCAGGTTGGGAAACCTGGTGAGTACATAGGGTTTTCAACCCACAATAATATAATTATTATGTTTAATCATCAAACAGTTAACCCAATTACCCATCCCCATTATCTTCTTTATTCTTAAGGATCTACCCTAAGAATCAACTATTTCTTGTTCATTCATTCCTAAGGATTATCCTAAGGAATAGGTACAAATTTCATCGTTGTCAATGACACATCTATCAAGCACAGCTGCTAGTTCTATCACTTAGGCGCATCTGCCGGTATTGTCCTTTAGGCGCAGCTGCCAGGGTTATCTCGTTTATCGACAGTATCGTTTCCGAGAATCCACTCGCAATACATGTCAATGGGTTTTTAGAGTACACCGGTGAACACATCGTTCACAACACCTACAGGTTGCGAGCCTGCTAGTGTTCCACTGGACTGTCTAGAATAGTCCGTGGTTGTCATCTATACTCTGCTAGATGACGGGGCCAACATTCGGGTACAAGGCTTCTTACATCGTCCACCTCTCACCCTCACCTCATGGTCTATTTCACCTCTCACCTCATCATCCGACTCATATTTCATCTACCCATGTTTTACCCAACATATTTTATAGATATAAAATATATATACAGTTTAAATCATTTAAAGCATGTATAAAAATCTTTCACCCAGCATAGACAACAAGTATACAAACAATATGCACACATAGCACGTAATTTATATTAAATACTTCATATCTATGTGTAAGATGAAAGTAACTATGCACTCACCTGAAAGGTGGTGACTCTGTACTTGAACAGCGCTTCGTTATCTCAAAATAATTTTCCCTTGACAAAACCTAGTATCAATACCACTAGGGTTTAGTCTAACGTTAATCGCGACTAATTAATAGTCTAGCTATTATTACTATTATATAAGCGTTAAGCAACACTCTTATATAACTCATAATAATAGCCCAAATAATTATTTTAAGGTCCTAATAACATTACTATATTAAAACATAAGTTATACTAAAGATAGGTTAGGCGTAGCTCACTTACAGCGGGTTTTTCTCAAAACCGGGCTCCGCTAGAGCAGCGTTCCCGAGCCAAAAGGCTCTTCTTCTCGGAGCCGTCGGGCGCTCCGGGGCTTCCGCCTCGTGCTAGGGAGGTTCCCTAGGCTTTTCGGGGGGTTTCGGGGGCTAGAGAGAGGTTATAGAGAGAGAGGAAGACGTAGGAAGGTGTGAGAATGAATGGAGGCCTCACCACTTATTTATAGGGGCTGGAGGAAGTTTCACGTCGTGAATCTCTTGATGTTCACGCCGTGAGTGAGCTTGGGCTCCAAGTCACAGCCTGGTGCTGACACGTGGCATCGCACACAGGGTGGAAATCAGCCGATTTTCAAAAATTCATAACTTTTGCATACGAGCTCCGTTTTCGACGTTCTTTATATCCACACGTAGGTAAAAACAAGATCTACAACTTTCATTTAGACTCCGTCGGCTAATTCTCGACCGATCTTAAATTTAACAGTAGGAAGAGATTAGACTGTTAAATGACCGCGAAGAATTCATAACTCTTTCATGCAGACTCCGTTTTCGTCTGTCTTTTTACCGTTGAGTTCCTATTAATGAGATCTTCAACTCTCATTTAGGTCGCGTAGGCCAAAAACCGCTCGAACTAAAATTCGAGTTTCGGGTCGTGCACTGCTATGCCAAATCTTAGAAAATTCATAACTTCCTCATACGAAGTCAGATTTGGGCGTTCTTTTTTTTTTTTTTTTTTGTATGTTCTCGGTTTAAAGTATACTACAACTTTTGTTTAGATCACTAAGGCTAAAAAGTCCTCTATCTTAAATTCACTATTTACGTCTCCCGGTGTCGTGCCGGTTTTGCCGAAAAACTTCGACGGGCCATAACTTCTTCGTTATAACTCGGATTTCGGCGTTCTTTATATGTACGGAACCCTTGAGACATATTCTACAACTTGGTTAAGATTATTTATTCTAAATAATCTTTTGTCGAAAAGTCGTTTTCGACCCCTATTATCTCTAAATTGACTAGCCTGGATCTACGGGCGTTACATGTTTGATTTGGGTGTTGGGTTGAGGCGGTCCTGCTTTGTGCTGAAGGTCAACATACCCAGGGCGGTCCGGAAAGACTACAAAAGCCAAGAGGGTATGATAGTCAGATCGAAGGCCCGACGAGCGGTCCGGATAGGCTGAAGGCCCCGCGAGGCGGTGCAGACGTGCCGAAGGCTCGGAGAGCGGTCCAGATAGACTAAAGGCCTGCGAGGCGGTCCAGTCAGGCTGAAGGCTCATTATGCTTGCTGTTTGGTTATATGTTTATATGGCATGGTTATATGGTTGGTATTTTGGGGGATAACTCACTAAGCTTTCAGACTTACAGTTTCAGTTGTTGTTTCAGGTACCTCTGGTGATCGCGGGAAGGCGAAGGCATGATCGTACCGCTCCTCTCCCTGTTATGATTTTTATGATTTGGTACTGGGATACTCTGATAACTGTATTTTGAAAACAAACTATGTAATGACTTAATGGATTAAAATGTTTTTAAAAGTTTAAATCGACTTGAATTTTTGGGTGTCACAGAGTTGTATTTTGATATTATTTTACATGACATGTTTTGGCATTTGTGTTTGTTTATGAGACAAGATGATATTGTCGATGTTTTCAGATTACTATTTCTATACATTACCTGATTTAAAATGAAAATTTTGATCTTGAATTTTGGGATGTTACATATGTACTTGTGTTCCAATGTATACAATTATTGTGATACTGTGATTCTCGTTGCACCCCCGAACGTTTCCGCCATTCGGTTTAGGAGGAGTGTGACACATCTTCCACGAGTGGCTCATCAAAGGATATCATGGCTCAACAAAGGAACACATGTGGCGCACCTTCATCACGAAATATCACAAGATGCTCCATTCCCTTCTTAGGTGTTCCATTCCATTTTTAGAAGATTCGTTCATTTGTCACTTGATATGTTCATTTATTTGATTATCCATTTCTTTCTCAGATGATCTATTCCTTTGTCACTTGCTCTTTGAACCTTAAGTGCTTCATATTGATTTCTGATGCTCCATTGCAACTCCAAGTGCTCTATGTATTAAACAATACTTCATATCTCAACATTGACACATAAATAGATTTATCAGCATCTGAGACTTGTAAGGACTAAAAAATTATCAATATTTTGTAATTTGGTTAATACCGAATGAATTTTATGGTTTCATTTGATAACCACAAGGAAACTATTCATCAAAACGACTTAATTACTGCTTGAAAACCATTCGTCGTTGCCGTTTTACATGAGTAAATAACTGGTTATTCTATAAAATATTAACAACCGAAAATGAAAGTTTTCAAAAATAGAATAAACTCTCTAAAGTTTGTATATCCTTGGGTAACCAAAAGATATCAATATTTTCAAATGTGAGCTTAATAAAGTATACTCTTTCTCTTCCTGAAATTTACCAACGATATTCAAGGCTCTAAACCAAACGCAAATCTTCTCCAAACCTCATTCACAATGTGCTTCGGTAGATATATCACATACTATTATATTAGTTTATATATAAAAATGCAAAAGTGTGTCATTTTAGAACTAAAAAAAAAAGTAGAAAAATAGAAAAACCAAACTGATTTTGGCTCCGATTTCAAAATGATCTGAATTCGATTTTGAATTTTTCGGGTACAGTTTTAAAATTGACCTCTAAACTATAGGGGCAAGGTACAAACTTCGATGCACAATCTACAAAACGTGAAAGCGAACGAAAACAAGAATCTCAAGTCACAGGTGTAACCGTGGGGCCAACATAATGTTCTTTTCCGGATCCGAGTTAAGCCGTCGATTCGCATGGAATAGAATTTTTCGCGCCCATCGCGTTTTTTTGGCGAGTGAACCCAAAATATTCGTCATTATTGCTGTGCTGCCATATCTCTCTCTCACTTTAGCTTCTTTCTCTCTCTAGAATTCGTATTGACTTTAGATTACTCGTTTCCGCTCCAATCCCATTGTCAATTTTGAGATTCGAGTAAAAGTTCTCCGACGCCGTCGTATGTTTATTCATGTGAGCAATGCAGTTCTTTATCGATTTACCTTTTCGTGTGATTGATGTTTGACAGAATGTGTAGTTTAGGTATATAAGATCGTGGCAATTTAGTGTTTAATCGAAGTGGCAATTGGCTATTTGGATGGATAGTTTGTTTGTAAGGAGTTAATAAATAAAGAATATATATAATATATTTTCGTGTATATATATAATATTAGGTCACTTCGTCGTACTGTTTTCAATCTTTTAGTGATTCTCTGATGATGTGTTTGTTTGGTATTTTTTTATATGCGATGTAGGGGATTGAGTTGGTAAGGTGATGGATTTCTCGAGAACTAAGCTATGTCAGCGAACGCGTTCTTGCTATGACAAGCTTTACTTAGAGTTCAATGAGAAAAAACATAACGGAAGGCCTCGCAATCCTTCCGGCGGCAGCAGCAGTGGCGGTGGTGATGATCGGATCGATAGGGTTGGAGAGAGTTCTGGGAAATCAACCGACGGATTAAAGGGAAGCGATGGAAGAAGAGATGAAATCGAAGTTAGGTCTCGTAAGACAAAGAAAAGGCGTAAAGGGGGAGACAAATTAGGGAAAGTTTCAAAGAGGGGCAATAATGCGACTCCTGTTTGCTTAATTGTTGAATCCGATGATGATGATGATCATCATCATGTGGGGCTGAATGAGCCCTCTCCGGCGAATCATTGTAGATTTGGAACTGAAGAGACTTTAGGAAGTGGAAAGATCGGGAAGAAATTGCGAAGCGGGAGATCTTCAGAAAGAGGCAAGAACTCGAATCGAAATAGCCTCATTGATGAATTAGAGAATGACTGTGGCCATGGATACTATGAAGACGACGATGGTGTCGAGTTGAGTAAGAGCTCTGGTAGGTATCAAAGTACGTCCGATGTCGCAGGGGTTTCTGCAAGTGGAAAAACCAATAAAAAGTTCGAAAATGGATTTGCTGTCTCGAGTAGGGATTTTTTGGGGGAAAACTTGGATAATAAAAGCGCTAGAACAAATGATTCACAGCATAACAGTGATGACGATGATGCGCTTTCATTATTGGGTGGTAATTCTAAATCAAGCAAGAGCCACGGTTCTGGGAAAACTGAAAAGAAATCAGAAAAAGGATTTTTGTGTGACATTACTACTTCAAATGGCGATTGTTTGAAAGGGAAGAGGATTCTTGAAGATAAGTCCGTGACTTCACATGGTTGTCTCATTGATGAAAGTGATGACCATGAACGTATTACATTAGGTGATGATGTTACATGTTTGGATGACACTGATCCCTCCCATAGTTCTCGTGTTGGAAGTAATGAGATAAAGTTAAGCCCAGTGGAATTGGATTCTATTCAAGCAGATGATAACGAAGGTGATGATTCACAGGAGCTAAAGTCATCTGAAGAAGATGACAGTGATTGGCGGGACATGGACCCACCTGAGAATGCTAATGTTGTTGGTGGTAAGGATGTTGAAGTTATTAGTTTGAGTTCTTCTAGTGATGATGATGATGATGATGACTCTAGTGTTCTGGAGGTGGATAAAATGGGTGATACAGGAGACAGGTTTTGGACTGAAGTGGTTAAGGAAGGTCCATTAAATGAGCTTGTATCAAAGAAGAGGCGAAAAGATGCAGATACTTCACTTGGTTGTGGTAGAAAACCTAAGTTGAAAAAGGAGCAGTCTATACATGAAGCCATTGAGCAACCTTTTTGGGTTGCAGACTATAGCAAACAACAATGTTCATCTAAAGATGCCAATGGAACCAACACTCAAAAGGCTGTAAATATCATATCGAAAAAACAACTTGGAAATGTAATTGATGTAATCAAGATTCTCACAGAAACAATAAAGGAAGGTGAAGATGGAGACAAACTGCTTAAACAGTATGTCACTCCTACAGAAGCCAGTCCAGTAAAAGACAGTCTTGTACAGCAAACATCTGTTGAACAAATAGTGTCATATAAGTTCAGATTTGAAGACGAAGAAAATATGAAGCAGGATGAATCAGAAACCGATATGGAAGTTGATGGACTTTTTGATGAGATGAATATGTGCTTCCAACTTTCAGAAATTGGTTGCTCTGATGCTTCTGCAGTAAGTTTCCATTTTTATGTAAAATGGTATTTTTGAGTCTTTCAAATTTCAAATAATTTATCCGCTCCATTTACTCTGATGATATGCAGGTTACTCATGGTGATGCTGACTTCTTTATGGAGGATATTGACCAAGCTACACGCTGTCGCCTAGGAAAACATCAACTTACAATCAATGATCAGTTTGGAATCATCTGCAGATATTGTTCTTTTGTTGAGATTGAAGTTAGAGACATTTTACCTCCTCTGGTTAGTTTTAGCTTATTTTCTACTTTTAAATTACTACATTGTGGATGTTTATTTGATTTGATATATTTATATGCACAGGGTAAGAATGGAAGGGGAGGGCATAGCAGACATGAAACCGACACTGACAAAACAGACAACCTTAAGTTTTCAGATCTTCAATTTGCTGAAGGCCATGAAGAATGTCCTAATGATTCAAAAGGGAGTGAATACGAAAAAGGGACAGTTTGGGACTTGGTGCCAGGTGTCAAAGAAACCATGTATCCACATCAGCGAGACGGGTTCGAGTTCATTTGGAAGAAAATCGCAGGTGGGACCTACATTGAAAAGCTTGAAAAATGTCTTTCCAATGGCGGAAGCGGATGCATAATCTCCCATGCCCCTGGAACCGGAAAAAGCCGGCTGACAATCGTTTTTCTGATGGCATTCATGCGAATGTATCCGAATTCAAGACCAATGATTATAGCTCCTCGTTGTATGCTTCTAACATGGGAAGAAGAGTTTAAAAAATGGGAAGCGGATGTTCCATTTTACAACTTGAACAACAAAGAGTATTCCGGTCAAGAAGACGGAACGGCATCCACTCTTTTGAAACAAAATGGGAATGGAAAGAGCGCACGATGCCTTCGTTTATTAAAGTTGTATTCATGGAAGAGAAAGTCAAGCGTGTTGGGAATCACGTATAGACTATTCGAAAGCTTAGCTGGCAAAGAGGGTAGAAAGAAACAAAAAAGTTCAACATCAAAAAATTTCGAAGATGTGGAAATCAGAAAGATTCTTCTTCAGATTCCGACTCTATTAGTCCTAGATGAAGGGCATACACCCCGGAATGAAGAAAGCCTGGTTTGGAAGGCATTACAAAATGTGAAAACAAAAAGAAGCATCATTCTCTCCGGGACTCCATTCCAGAACAACTTCAACGAACTCTTCAACACATTCTGTTTGGTGAATCCCGTATTAGCATTCGACATGATAAGAAACGACGGCTTCACCATAAAACGGAACCGGAAAAACAGTTCCGTGAAAGGGCAATGGGATTCCATCACAAGCGAAGTTTTAAAAAGCCGGCATAAGTTGGACGAATTGAAAGCCATGATTGACCCTTTTGTCCATGTACACAAAGGAACAATTTTACAAGAAAAACTCCCCGGGTTAAAAGACGCTTTGGTCGTTTTAAAGCCTACAAAAACACAAAAAACATTACTCGGAATGATGTCGGGGACAAAAAGTCAAGTGGAAAACGACCATGTGATGTCGTTGGTGTCCATTCATCCTTCGTTGGTTGAAGACAGTTTCATGGATAACGAAGGGATCCGCAAAGTTTTGAAAATGTTCAAAAACGACCCGAGTGCGGGTGGGAAGACAAATTTCTTAATGGAGCTTATAAAGCTTAGTTGCGCGTTGAACGAGAGGGTTTTGGTTTTTAGTCAGTATACGAAACCGTTGAAGTTTATAATGGAGTTGTTGGAGAAGAAGTTTCGTTGGGTTAGAGATAGGGAGTTTTTGTATATGGATGGACAACAAGAGGAAAAGAATCGACAGACATCGATTAATACGCTTAATGATCCGAAAAGTGAAGTGAAGACACTGTTGGCTTCAATCAGGGCTTGTTCTGAAGGGATTAATCTGGTGGGTGCTTCGAGGGTTGTGTTGCTTGATGTTCAGTGGAATCCGTCTGTAGAGAGACAGGCGATTAGTAGGGCGTATAGACTTGGTCAGAAGAAACTTGTTTATGTTTATCATTTAGTCACTGGAACAATGGAGGGAGAGAAGTATATTAGACAGGTGGAAAAGAGTCATTTGTCTGAATTGGTTTTTTCTTCAAAAAATAATGGGTGTGGGAGTGGGGGTTCAAAGTCTAAAATAGCGGCCATGGTGTCGGGAGATAAGATTCTTGAAGAAATGGTGCAACATGATAAGTTGCAGCATATGTTTGAGAAGGTGATTTACCAACCAAAAGAATCGGATCTAATTAAGACTTTTGGTTGATTTATTGCACACCAAGTTTTGGACTGAAGGAAAACTACTTACTACGTTATGGTCTTTCTTTTTATTTTAACTACTACTAGATATAAGTAACAAATGTTTTTTCTTGAATCTCTAATCTAATTTTTCTTCGGATTTTGTATTTTGGGTGTTTGTTTTTGGTCATTTATAATTATTAACTGTAGAGGTAGGTAGAAATGAAGAAATTACTATCAAAATAAGTTCCAACAGGTAAGAGTAGAACAAGCTGTATGAATTATAACAATAAGCTCAATTCAATTTCCTTGTACCGAAGATATAGTTTCACGAAGCTTTCAAGTCAGGGTTGTTTTTAGCGTAAGTATTCGTTTATAAGCAGAATCCAAGTTAGAGACCTGATGTGTTATTGAGGTTTGAACCCACATATAATCAGTTTTTAGTGTTTGGTGAATTGCTTACTATTACTTGATAATTTGGGGTCAAATAAATACGTTTGGACTAAGGAATACAATATGTTATATGTATTTTGTGTAAATATGATTGATGGATTTCATTGCAACTTATGCATTATCTACTGCAATTGAAATAAAAAAACTAAATTCAAAAAGGATTTCAATGAGGATTCTGTGTGAAAGAATTAGCATGTGATCTACAAAGCAAAACACAACAATCCCACAACGCCTAACAATGAGAACTATGAACATGAGTTAGAGGTTCCGTTGTTTCCATGACAACTTTTTGCATACTTAATTTGCGCTGATCGGCCATATCACCAATCTTCTCCACCACTTATTAATACTTTTAATTATTTAATACAAATATACTTAGATAAAAAAAATATTATGCAACATGTAATCAAAATAAAAACATTTTTATATATTTTTTTAAAAAGACAATACATTACATATATAAAAATGTAAAAAATCAAATATTATTTATATATTTTCCTGAATCGCCGTTTTTACCGAAAACATCTTCTCGAAGTCTTCGCCATGAAGCTACATATTATATTAATATTTTCCTGATTCTCTCTTTTGTTGAAGGGGTAGGCTAAAAGACACCCTATTTTACTGTATAGACACCGTAATTAAATTTTGAAATATTTTTATTGGTTGAAATTGTATTGTTTTCCGAAAAAACTGATTATAAGTTGACTTTTTATAAAGATATCAATAGGGTGTCTTATTAGCGGCAAACGGTGGCATTTGAATTGGGCTTTGCTTTAATGAGTTGAGATTCATCAAAATCGCATTGCTCAAATCCCGAAGGTTGTTGTGTTTGCATGTAAGTGCTTTTGTGTTTTGGTTGGTGGTTGTGTGTTTGGGTTTTCCTCTGTTGGAGAAAATAAATTAGAATATGAGAAATAAATGTGTCGTTTGAGAAGGTTGTGTATAAGTTGTAAAATGAGGTTAATATTTATAGTCAGATTGGTTATAAAAAGAACAAGATAGTAAATAATAATATGCAACACTTTCTTATTCAACGGTCAAAATTTTGAAAATTTGAATGAATTTCCGAAATGACATTAACCAAGTTTTAACAAGGGAAAAGGTTTTTATTTATAGGAGAAATATCACAACTTTGAAAGATAATGTGTTATTAAATGCATGCACACCAAAAGATTTCAATTAGGATCCATCCCACATTGCCTGTGAGTAAAAGAAATAGTACGTTATGTAAAAAAACTACAAAATAAAATGCAAAACAGGTCATCCCACATCACCTAATGAGGTGAAATGGGAAGAGAGGTGCAAACTTATAATAAGAGTGATCATAACCGATTTTAAAATAAAGAAAAAACCCACATCAGGTTTATAGGATTGAAGTCTAGATAGGGTCTGAATCATGGGGGCTGTAAGCTGTTGCATGGGTGTCGGGTTCCTACTCCTGAAGATGGAAGGAAACAAGTATTCTAGCGAATTCAAAGGTGGTTTGAATCATGGGCTTCGCAACTATCTTTTCAGGTCAAGTTTAGTTTTCATCCTCAACTTCTTGAATCTTTATACCAATTAACAATCAAACTACATACATTTATGCCTTCTTCATGATTACGCATGGTTCAAATCTTATGTTTTAATTCTAGTTCATTTGAAATCAGATTGAGTTTTGCTTGCTAGTGAGATCATTGAAAGAAATATGTTTTTTTTTATCATACATACCCTTTTGGCTTTTACAATAACATGATATTAGTAATTAAGCACTCCACCCTGACCCATGTAATGAAATTTGTAACTATTGACATGATCCAATCATTTTAAGGTGAAATCACCAATTCATTCATTGATTTCTTGCATTGTGTGTTTGAGTGACAATATAATGATGCAGAATCAGAGACACATATGCTGGCGAGTAGTTTTCAGTCAAGATCCATTGTTTTGGTGGTGTGTGTGTGTGCCGTGATTCCAAATAACCATATATATCAATTGATGCAACAACTTAATCAGTCTAAAACATAATTTGGCTACGCTTAAAAGGGGTAAATTGACATGAAAGGGAAAGTAGGATAATGGTGTTCCAACAAACTCAAAACAGAGATGCACACTTAACTCTCAGTCTGCTCCCTCAGCCTTCGGATTGTGCTCCTCACTGTTACAGCACTTGCAGTACTGTTTCACAAAACAAAATCATCAGTATTTTGTATAACGCAAGTTATGATGATGATGATAATGTTAAAAGGGGATTGTGTGTTACTACTTACTTCAAGGTGTATGCACCTCCTGCTTTGACTTTTCCACAGTCCTTGCAACCCCAAATACCAACAGCCTTTCTCTTCACTGCATACTGTTTGTGTTGTTGTTCAAGTAGAAACAAATTTGTAAGTTGTAACAACAGTAGAATAAAAATTGACGAACAAAAAATAGAAAGAGGAGTCTCATATACCTTGCCACAAAATTCACAGAAATATTTGCTGTGCTGGCTGACTTCCATTTTCTTGATTTGCTTTCTCAAACTTGCACCATAACGGGTACCTATACAAGTAGAAAATGTAAAATCAAAATTAGAATCACTGCAGCAAAGCAAAAAAGCAATGAGATGATGGAGAAGAGAATACGTACCATACTTTCCAACGATTCCAGCTTTCTTCGTCCTCTTTGTCTGAGATTCAATATTTTGGGAAAAGTAAATAAAACCATTGACAATATATGTAAAATGTAATACTTGCAATTTCAAATATGACTCGTAGGCTGATACAAAATGTTCGATTTACAAGCGCTAAGTTGATCCTAAAATAGATAACAAAATTATAGTGTAATAGGAAAGGATTAAACACCAAAGCAATGGAAATGTTACATGTTATTCTCAGAGAGGTAGAACTCTTACCATTTTGCAAGATCGGAAAAGAACAGCGACCAATATGCAGAGAAGAGAGAGCAACGGCTGGGAGGAGCTGAAACCCTAGACTAAGTTCCGTATTTATATGGAGGCATTTTGGGTTTTATAAAATTTGAAAACCGGTAATCCCATCTATTTCCAAAATGGAAAGGATAATCAAATAACTAATTAAATATCTAAATTAATAAAATACATAAAAAAGTTTTTTTTTCATTATTATAATTAGACTCATCAATATATATAGGATTATAAATATAAATATTTGACAATAGATAAAGTTTAATCAAAATCTTTCACAAGGAAAACATGATACTCCCTTATTTTGTAGCTATATGTTTTGCTAATTTTTGTTACGGTCCAAATAGGTTAGAAAAATACAATGAATGAAAAGATTTTAGGAGCAAAAGGAAATAAATGAGGAAAATTTTATGGTTCTTTCTTTAAAAAAATTCTTTTACGCCTCGTTCCCGAGTTTAACAAAAGAAAATAAGAGAAGAGAAAAAAGAGAAAAGAAGAGCAAGGAAAGGAAAACAAAATTTTCTTTTGTGTTCCCAAGTCGGAGAGAAGTGGAAGGAAAATGAATCATTTTGTTTTTTCTTTCCAAATCCTCCCAAATCGGAAGGAAAGTTAGGAGGAAAAGTGATCCTCCCATTTCCCTCTATTTCCTTCCACTTCCCTCCTTTAATGAAACTCGGGAACACCAATTTCTTTTATTTTCTTCTCATTTTCACTCATTTCTTTTCCTTTCTCTCATTAAGTTAAACTCGGGAACGGGGTGTTATATTTTGGAGAGAAAGGAAATGGAATGAATTATAAGATTTTATAAAAAATATATATAATAATAAACCCTAACTTTATGTAGTGATATTTATTATATATTTTACACAATAATAACAAAATTACAAAACCTAACTTCTTCACTTTTTTCACTTAGCTTTTCTTTTATTTCTTTTCACCTTGTAACAGTCCGACTAGCACTCAATTTTGATTTTTGAAAATATTACTATATCAGTGTGAAGACAAAAGAAATATATTATATATTAATCGGGTAAAATTTATCAATCTTTAAAGACAAGTGATAAGAGTAAGAAAAAGGGGGTTAGTTTTGCAAAATAGTAGGTAGATGACCTACTAAATTGCTTAAAGTATTATATAATATATATCTCCAACATAAGTTAGCATTTTCTTTATTGTGTTTTATTTTAACTAGTATAAAGATTTTATTAATGCATAAGTAAGATTTTGTTGAAGATCAAGATTCACGAGGAGCAGGATAAGGTCAAAACTCAAAATAAAGAAATAAATAAAATCCGAAGGACATAACACACCACAATTACCCCCCAACCGATTGTTTTGCAATAAATTCTTGTGTATTCTTTAATTTTCTTAGCATCTTATAAATTGTGTGTCATTCATAACCCCAACATGAACATCTAACATCAATTTCCCATGGATGTCCAAGTTAGTTGTAATCTTATCTCTTATCTTTATTCAACACATACACACGATTTTGAAATTTTTGTCAAATACCAAACAGTCAAACATGTCGGACCCACATACAATAAGATCCGTACATAGTGTGATATAATATATAGAAAGCCACAAGGAAAAGATTACATTCGTAGAAACCAAAAAAAGCCAAAATACAACACTAGAAAGAAACTATGATGATGCTGATTTTGTTTTACTTCAAGTAAAGGCACAAACATTTACATTTTACAAAGGCAAAGGCAAAGGACAAGAAAAAGGCATCCTAATTCTCATGAATCTTGATGGGCTATGCAGCTGCAATTAACCCCTTCCTCAGATATCCTTCCGATAAAGAAAAAAAAAAAAAAAAAAAAAACCCAAAAGAAGCAGTTTAGTGCTCTTTAAACCCATAAACCTAGTAGTAGTAGTGGTAGTAGTAGTAATAGCAACATATATCATATTTATATATATATAAACATCATTGCTTATTTTTAGTAGCTAGAAGCAAGAGGGATACCATTTGCTCCTCAATCAGCACCTTCAATATTCTAATCTGATTGCGGTTCCAGGCGGCACCACCTCCTTGCACCACCACCCATATCATCACTTCTAGAAAACCATTTCCATTTCCTTTTTCTTTTTCATTTTCTTTTCCCCCCAAAAAAAAGATGGAACAAACACAGTTAAATCAGACGATGTCTAGTGGCACATCATCACCATCATCATGCTGATGCATTTGGTTTTGGACCGCCTTAACTGCCGCCACTCTGGCTGCGTTGGCCGCCCGGTTAGCCGCAGTCACCGCCCTGTTCACCCTCTCGTCCACGTCAGCAACAGCTAACGCTTTCTCAGCTATACGTCTTGCTTCCTATTTACAAAATAGTTGTAACATGTTTCTTTTTTAGTATACAAGAAAGAGTTAAGGTATATATATGTATGTATGATATGACTGTTTCTTTTTTGACTTAATGTGGAAAGAATTACCTGGACTGCTTTAAGGACTTTGGCATGAGAAACAGATGAAAGAAATGGATTTTGAGAAGTTGAAACACTGAGAACTCCATTATCCCATTGACCTGATTGAGTCTCACCATTTCTGAAAGTATACATACCACAACCTTGTCTTCTTCCTTCATGCCAAGCACCTTCATATCTATGTCCATTTGCAAATCGATACACACCAAAACCATGCATCTTGTCTGCAAAATATTCTCCAGCATATGTGTCCCCGTTTCTGCATCATCACATAACCTCAATCACATTGTAAATAATAACAACATGAATGAATTCAAATTTCTGTTAGATGGGTTGAGTGCTAAATTACTAATCTCTGTATTTTGTAGGGTAGATGTAATTGTAAAAAAGCCAAGGGTATGTATGATATATCAGTTTGTTAACCATATTGATTTCAATATTATTAGCAAAACTATTGTTATTGTATCTCAAATGAATTAGATTTGAAGTGAGTTTAAACAATAGGTAATCAACCAAGAAGGCACATAGATGTTAGTGGGATTCAAGATTGTGAAGTGCTATGAAGATTCAAGAAGTTAGGTTGAAAAACTTTACCTGAAATGGTAGTGGCCAAGCCCATGTTTGATACCTCCTTTGAATTCGCCAGCATATTTGCTTCCATCTTCACAAGTATGAACTCCACACCCATGACACTGACCCTTCAACCACTCTCCCGCGTACATATCTCCAGTGTAAAATCTGTAAACTCCATAACCATGTCTCAATCCTTGCCTATACTGTCCTCTATATCGGCTTCCTTTTGCCCAAGTTTCAACACCATATCCATCGTACTTTTGGTCAACCCAATCGCCTTCGTATCTCCCATTTAAGTTGTAGTAATAAACCCCACTTCCAGAACACTTCCCTTTATAAAATTCACCCTCATAAACATCGCCATTGCTGTATACCTTCACCAAGAACCCTGAATTTGTGTTTTCCTCTAACTGGGTCTTTGACCCAATTGACCAAACAACTGGTGGGTGTGTTGTTGATGCGTTATCTGATTTGTAAAGCTTTAGATTTGGGAAATTTCGGGCGACGAATAATCGGATTGATGGGAGGTTAGTGGCATGAAAACTGTTAATATTAAATGAAGATAAAAGAACGCTACAGAAGGCAATAAGAAAGAGTATGTAGAGATAAAAGGAGCGATAGCTCAAAGAGAAGTAATAAATTGAAGGCAAAAAGAGAAGGATTAAAACCCTGAAAGGGACTTTAACCCAGAAAAGCTTAACGTGAGTAAACTTCAACAGTTTTAGAGCAACTGTCTTGGTGGCTAAAAGGGCTTCAGAAGATGAACAACAAATTAAAGACTTCTGATGAGAAGCTCTTCGTGGGTGGTTGTACGGGTGATGGTGGTGGTGATGATGGGATGAAGTTTTCTGTTGGGGACTCATAACTACAGGTCTTTTCTGAGGATTTGAAATAACAGTTTTCTGGGTGTTGGTGGTTGTTGCTGTTGTTGCGTTTTGCTTGAAGGTAGGTCGTTGTTCATTATAATCTTTTGTTGGTATTTGGATTTGAAGATGGGGGATCCTTGATACGTAGTTGGCTTTGAAATTCGTGTTTTCTTGGAATTGAAATTGTGGAGTTTTTGAATCGGAAGAGCTTCGTTCTTCTCCGATCTGAAGGCCGGTTTTCTTCTGACGCATTGACTGGAAACCAAAATCAATAAAACCCAAAACGATTACACCTCTATGTACCTCACTCAATCATCGAAACCATAGAAATTCTTGAATTCTGTGTGAAAATTTCTCAACAAAAATCGATTTGATCTGTGTTTGTAGATGAATTTGGGGTTTCAGGTGGATTGTGGATCGTTGTGATTTTTTGTCGTCTGGTTTTTCGGAAAAAGGAAGAGGGAAACATAAAAGGCTCAAGTGGGGGAGCTGTGTAGATATAAATATACAGGGGATGATTGATCCATTTATGAAAACTAATGGGGTTATGTTTGTAAGTTTTTATTTTTGGACCACTAATGTATCTTCTTACACCCATGTACTTTTAATATTTACAAATCTCACCGCCTCCATCAAAAGTCTTTTTGTTCCTTTACTTTTTAACTTTATAAGAAGAAACTATTAATTTAAAAATCAGGGATATTTTGGGCATGGTGTTTTTTTTAATATATTTTCCCTTATTTTTTGGTAGAGAAAAGATGGGTGCCCATCTTTTTCTTAATAATTTACTGATAAGTCGATTTGTTAAATTTCAGAAAGAATGCTACTTAGATATAGAGATTCATACATAATTTGTACAAAATCAATCATAAATAAAGAAGTAATATTTATTAAGTGTTAAATCATAGATTTTTTTTTCCAAATGATTCAATCATAAAACTTTGGCAATTATTATTTTAAATGCAAAAATTAAATGGATTGATAATTTTTTAAAGGAAATTTTTGAAAGTTCTAAATAAGTTATTTAAAAAGATAACTATTTTTTTTTACGATTTTATAAAATGATTATTTTCTTCCAAATGTCCCATTCTCGACGGTTCTTCAATTTCGAAGTTCTTTTCCCTTTTTTGATTTTTTTTTAATTTTTTAATTTCTATATTTATGTTTGGAATGTTCATTTCGAAGTATTTCATATCATTGTTTTTGAATCAAATGTCAGATTTTATGACATAATATCGTATATAATCTTCAATTTACTATGTTTGATTAGTTTTTTATTAGATTTTCGTAAAAAACGAATTTTTTTCTTGAAATTTTGAAACTTGTTAATCGGATTTCAGACTTGTTTTTTTAAATTTCAGAGTTTTTTTTGAACTCCGAAATGTTAGTTTGAAATCTAGAATCTCAATCCAAAATTTATTTTTCTTTTTTAGAAAAAATGTTTTTGTTCAGTTTATTATGCAAAAAAAAAAAAACACTTATAATCTTTCACATTATGGTTAGTTTAGTTAATTTCCCAATTTGAAGGACTTAGAGTTGAATAAGTTCATATGTGTTTAATAAGTCTAGACAAAAAAAGATTATCTGTACCCATGAGATAATCAACTCACTAAAACACCAACAAGTACCAAATTGTTTATTTATTTAACCAATTGATTGATAATATTGATTTCTAGTTAGAAAAAACTACTATTTTTTTTTATGTATTTTTATAACATCTTTAACGTTTTATGATCAGATTTTATATATGATCTAATATTGTAAGTTTTTTAAAGTGCATTAATGCATTATAGGTCTACAACTTAAACTAATTGTACTATCAATTAAAGACCAAATGTACGACTTGATACCGTCAAAATATGGATTCATACCACCAATTATTATAAAGTATTAATTCTTTACTATTTTTTAATGATTATTATTATAAGAGACCATTTTTAACTTAAAATTTACCTACACATCTACTAACGTGCACCTAACATCTACCCTCCATGTGATTCCTACGCTTTCCTAACTCTACTCAGCAACACTGACCTGTGCTATCAATGAGTATCAAAATAAAATTTACAAAGAAAGGGAGTGAATGGAAATGAGAATTCTAAAATTCCCCTTTTAGAATTTTCTTTTGATAGACATACGTTTTTATATTTTCAATAATAAAAATACTCCGGACACAATTTTATGTATTATGTATATAGTAATAAACGAACATGATTTTCTTATGTTTTTTCCTCTCAAAGTTGAAAATTTGTTAATAGTAAAAGGTCTTACAAGAATGCCTTAAGAATGAAGGACATGCACTAAATAAAGTTTCTAGCAAAAAATTGGATGTCTTTGTGGACGTCCACACAACTAAACTCCAAAAACGTACATTTCAATCATTTGAATATATAATCCATTAAATGTGGATATTTTCGAAGCTACAACAATGAACCTATGAATTACTAAACTCCATAATATTTGTTAAACAAATGTGCTTTTTCGTAGAAGATGAAATTTAAAAAAAAAAAAGATCAACATTGAATGCGACTACCAATAATTTTAATTAGTTCTTTAAGATATTCATCTTTTAATCGTATTCAATAAGTCATTAATTTTTTTTTCTATGTTTCATATATCGTTAGAGTGGATTTCAACCTTATGTGACTTCTACTCTGAGATGCTATTATTATGTATCTATAGCTCAAAAAGTGAGGGTTTTTTTTTCCAAAAAGTCAATAAAAAGTTTGAAAGCAATCCCAAACATGCCCTTAGTAAGTTTCATAATTTCTTGAGCATTCCATTTAGTCATAGTATTTACATATTAATCGTCTTGATTTCATTATCCATTTTAGTAACATTGAAGTAACCTGATATTTTCCCTACTTTCCTTGAATGACTAATATGTTATTTTCATATTTCATAAAGTTCCATGTCCTTAGTAAGAGCCACGATTGTAACTTTTTTCCATTTGATCACCTCAAGCCTTATAGAAACATCTTACTTGTACTACAAGTACACCATGAAGTCATATATGACTTCCAAATTCCTTTCATTCCATCTTTATCACTTTGCAGAAAAAACTTGTATCTTTTATTAAAGATGCAACAATAATTCTATAACAAAATTCTCTTAGTTCTTATTATTGAGAACTCAATTTATCTCGTACTTCAAGCTTTTATCGATTCCACCACCATTTGTGATGGTTTTGATACTCCGTTGCACGAGGGTTTTGTCTGATTTCATTAAGTCCGTACCATTTAATCTTCCTTTCTTTTGTGATTCATCGACTACAATGACGTTCAATTAAAAATCGGGTAAAGATCGAAGTATGAGCCACATAGATTCGCATTGGCTCCAAACTTACAAACGAGGTACAACCTGTAATGTTGCCAACAATGCACAAAAAAAAATGTTAAGTAGCCTGTTGAACACAATTAGAACTTTTGTACCTGAATTAAAAGAAATCAGATGATTTTTTATTTGTTTATATCATTAATGTTATTTCCGTTAACCATACCAAGTCAAATCCCCAACATCCGTATGATCTAGTGTTCAACTTATATAAAAAAAAGATATTAATAAATTGAATTTTTAAGAGTAATAACAAACCCACAATATAGCCTAAAATAACGTATTATTTTTTCTCTATTTCTAATTTAATATGTGACTTGGTAAAACATGTAGAAGATGTGATGAGTAACTCAATGACACACGTTCAAATCTTGGCACTACTCATGTTCGCAACGGAGGATTATTCGATGGGCGAAAGCTAAAAGGCTGGTTTCAGTTCTTGGTGTTTTTCCAACATTCTAATCATGGAGATGCTCTCTAGTGGGATCTAGACAAAAATGGGAATTTTTTTTTCTTGATGGCTTCTGCTCATTAATTACTAGATAAGTTTTCCTTACACTCGACTGGAACTCGGACTCGGTGGAATACTCTTATTCCAATTAAGGAGAATATTCTTATGTGGAGGATGTTTCTTAAGAGAATCCTAAATCGTTTGAATTTCAATAACAAAGGGTTGGATCTTGACTCCATTTTATGTCCTCTTTGCCGAGAAGTGGGAGAAAGTGTTGATCATGTTTTGGTTTCGTGCCCCTCAGTTATTGGTTTGTGGCCTCGTTTAGACACTTGATGGGAGATCCCGACCTCGAATTTTGTAGGTATTAATTCACTTAGTTTTTGGGTGGAGTAGGTTTCTTTTTCTTCCCTGCAAAGAAAGTTTTTTGAAGCTGTGATTTTCACTTCTATCCTCCTGGAATTTTCATAATAAGCTCATATTTGCTATGGAGAAACCAAAAAGAAGTGAGATATTTGATGATATTGTTTCACGTTCCTTTTTTGGATTTGTAATACACGTAAGAACTGCTAAAATACTTTAGGATATGTGGTTATCCAATCCTAAATTAACTGTATTTTCCTTAATTTTTTTATATCATTAATGTTATTTCCGTTAACCATACCAAGTCAAATCTCCAACATGCGTATGATCTAGCGTTCAACTTATATATAAAAAAAATAGTAATAAATTGAATTTTTAAGAGTAATAACAAACCCACAATATAGCCTAAAATAACGTTTTGTTTTTCGCTATTTTTAAATTAATATGTGACTTAGTTCCTTTTTTTGGATTTGTAATACACGTAAGAACTGCTAAAATACTTTAGGATATGTGGTTATCCAATCCTAAATTAACTGTACTTTCCTTAATTTTTTTTTCTAGTGCCTTACTAGAACTTTCGTAATAAATCTGTTGTTCAAAATAAAATAAAATGCAAGACTAATTTAATGATAATAATACGACAAAATGTTTTAAGCTTGAATAACTGTTTCTGTCAAATCGTGTTAACATTTTCTAAAGAAATTTTACTCACTGATTGTAAAGATAAATTTAAATTTATAAACATAGTTAGTAAGAATCATATACTATTGTTATTAAAGAAATATAACGTTATAAATAAATTTTTACGAGCGTTGAAATTTGGAAGCAAACTCAAATTTGACATCTTATGATCTATGGTTTGCATCATAAAAAATAGTCTAAAGAGTGGTTGATAATCATTAAATAAAAGCATTTTTAAATTAATCAATTTATTATTATTATTTTTAAGAATAATCTAACTGGATATCAAACACAAATAAAATAGACTTAGATGGCTCGTATAGAAACAAATTATAATGTTTTGTTAATTTGGATAAAGAACTATTTTTTTTGTTACAAATAATAAGTCCTCCCTAATAAATAAAAATAATTTTGCCACTTGTCATTCTCTTATGTATTATGCCACATGTTATTTTGTGATAAATTTATATTAAATTATATTCATGTGTCATTTTGTGGTTTTTTCCATTTTAATAAATTTCATATAATACTTAAATGTTATAATAAATGTATATCCAATTCATTAATGCAATTTTCCTTATAATTTTTAAATTTCTAAATTGAATCCAATTATTTTAATTGTTAATTTATTTAAATTATTAATTTAAATTTAAAAGAAAAATAAGCATTTCAAGTTTAATAATTAAATATT